TTTTTATTTGGGGGAGCACATATATACTTCTCTCCTCCCAACAGTAATGACACACAAAAAATTACACTATCTTATTTTTAAGATTATTTTGCGTTTGTATAATGAAATAAGCAAATTTTAATTAATGTGCTATTAAACCATCCTTTAGTTTGAATAGTATATAAAATATAATGTGAACATCTACTATACAACTGTGTACAATAATATAGGGTAATTCTGCTCTATCACACTAATAATAAATCTAATATCTTAAAGAACTGTTTTAAAATTGGAAAATACAAGGGCCTTTTATTATTTTAAAAGGCAATTTGCTAAAAATCACAAAACGTAATGTTTAATTAAATATTCCATATCATCTGTAATATTCTTAAGAATAATATAAGTTAAGTATAATAGAAAGCAAAACATTCTACTTATCTGTATATTTCTTATAAACATTAATCCTGCTATCTTATATCTACTGGAATAAGCCCACTGAATTTAAATAAACTTACTTAAGAGTAAGCAGGAATATTTTTTAAAGAATATACTCAAAGGGGTAAATCAACAAAATAACAGAATGATGAACTGGAAAAAAAAAACGATGCAACTGCATTTTGAAAAGATATACAGTTCAAATATAAGAATTCTGATGAACAGATTTTTAAAACAAATTTAGTATGTCACAAAAATCCTTAATACAATATAAATGCATTTTACAATTATTTGAAAACCACCTATCATTATTCTAAGAGCTGGTCCACTTTAAACTGAAACCAAACAAAAAAACATGTTACTTTAATCTGTACAAATTGCATTTTAGAAATCCCTCTTAGCAATTTTATAGCTAATTTCTATTCAATTATTATCCACTTGAAAGTGCTATGTGGTACCCCTCCCCCCAGAAATTGGTGAATGCATCTGGTTCCTAAGTGAATGCAGTGTTTCCAATTGTTGTAACAAAGCAAGACTGTTCTATAGCACTAGTAATCTGTTGATTTAGAGAAATGTTAAAATGGAGATGTAAATTCTTCTGATACTCGAGATTAACTCATTTAGCAAATTAACTATTTTGGGATTTATAATAATTCCTTCAGATATTTTGCCACTCTTTATAATGACAATTTCTTTCAATATGGCATCTTTTTAAATGTTTTGTTCATAAATACCTTTTGTTCATGACTTGTCAGCATCAACTACTATGCAGATTCTAATTAATCACTGCATGTAAGCATTCATTTTCCAAATTACCAAAAGCATGAGCTCTCTCTCCAACAACAAACATTTCAACATAGTAGCTTATGTTATTCTGACTAGTTTTGGGATCTCTGGGAGTGTTCTGCTTTTTGAAAAAAAAAAAGATCCCATTGCTCTATAGTTTCAAATTATTAAAGTGTTTCTAAAACATCTTTTTAAGACTGGTACCTAAATTTACTGATCTTCATATAATTTTAAATATAATTTATCTTTCAGTCTGTCAAGCTGTCATGTTCCTTTCTGCTACTGTGTAACATTTTTTCTGTAAAGAAAAAAAAAGTACACCTACTTTTAACAGCTTTTCTTAATGGATTATATCCCTAAAATGCAGCACTAAATGTGTTTTCTCATGTGTACATTTACTAGATACAATAACTTGATGAATTCTTTAAGAGACTTAGGAATTAAAATACTAAAGAAAACTAAGGTTAGTATAGTGGGTATCTTTGGAAAATATTATCTGCACTTTTTTGCCTGTTTTATATGCTTAAAGTGTTTTTGGCCTGTTGCTGAACCAAGAATCAGGAACAGTGGCATTGCTTACAATTATAAAGTGAAATGAAAAGGCCTGATATGTCTAAATTACAACATCATCTTATTCTAGAATATACACAACTAGTTAAATCTTTCTGCAGGCAGAATATTTGAACTGAGTCAGATAAAAATGTTGAACACTTAACTAATTTAGCTCCTGATGTGATTTTGGTAAATCAGAGCTCTGAAATTGCAGAACTCTGCATGTAACTAATTATCAATATATATTTTATATTCTATAAACTGACATACATTTATTAAACAAGAGAATAACCTTTTGATCACAATTCTCTAAAATAGTGAAGTATTTACATTGTTGCATTTTAAGGATGCTGGTAAAGCCGATTTTGAGCTATTCAGTGACCACAATAATAACGCTTTAAAATTCCTCACTGGGATGCAATGTAGTCCTTTTGATGGGAAGACTGTCTTTCTTATTCCCCAGAAATAAATCCATTCATTTGATCATGTAGTCATTGAGGGCAATACAAAACAAACCAAGTGTGAGAAATTCTATGTGATGAAGTAAACAAAACAAAACCCCAAAAAAGGGGGGAAAAGAGAGAAAATCCATTTCCATGACAAAAAGATGCTTTGTTCTTAATCTACACACCATATGCAAGCGTTTCTTTTTAGCATATCTCCTGTTCTAATCTTGGGTGACATGGCTACATAGATAAGACTCACTAAGCAAAACAAAAAACCCTCCTAGTTGAACAATTTTCTTCAATTTATTAACTCACCAGAAGTGCCATAATGAGGCACTGAGGTTTTTCCTTGTTAACTTTTAAAGTATTCAGAGTACTGTTTACATTCTTAAACCAAGCAATCTATCAATCCACCCTGATAGATTTTTCTATCATTTTTCTTTTACTAAATATAAATAAATATAAAGTATTTGGAAGGCATTTAAAAATATTTTGAAATAAGGAATCTCTTGTTTTAATTTCAACTATCCTTCAAGAAACTTGTTTCAATTCATTTTATTATTACCATTATCCAAGAAGCTATTCAAATCAGCAGTTGTCAGCCTTTTCCTTCTTTTCAAGAATTTTCTTATTAAAAAAAGATATGGAAGAAATTAGAAGTTCTGAATAATTGCCAATGTAACAAATGCATTTACCTTGGGAAGTCAGTTCATGCTGCACTAAGCTGCAAGGTTGCAGTGATGATTTAGAATAGCCAAAACTCTTATGGTTTAGTTCTCTTCCTCCACAAGCCCCTCTTGCCCAATGAAGTATGTGTGTGTGCTTTTTTTTCTGAAACATTTAAATGTGTAATTTTCCTTAGAGATTTTTTTTTAAATGAAAGCAATCAAGCTAGAATGTGCCATTTAGGAGCAACAGAATAATTCTCCCAATGACTGCCTCTTTATCACTATCCTGATCAGCATGGAAATTTTAAGTGATAACCACAGGAAGAATGAAATACTTCACTCTGCCTTCATAACTGAAAAAAAAAAAAGTAATCTGAGGTGGTGGTGGTGGGGAAGAAACCTACATTATAAACTTTAATGTCATATACAGATTCTGGAGTTTAGAATTATTCCAAATTGACTTCTAAAGGCAGCTCAAAATCCTTTTAGTCAATTGCAGCTAAATCATTTCGAAATCACACGCAACTTGTTTTATAAGCACCCTGAGCACACCTGGAGGTTCTCTTGGCCTCAAGGGGTCCAAATAAATTCTTTTTTCCCCAATAAATGCGGAACGAATATCCCATTTTATAATCCACCTCAAATCCTAAGGAAACTCAAGAACATCTTCAAGGCAATTGTGGTGGCAAATGAAAGCAGGCATGAGGCAAGTTAAGCTCTGCCCCAGGGCAGACAATATATCCACCCCAGGCCCTGACAATTATTCCCAGGCGTCACTCCTATTCCCTCCCTAACATTTAGAAGAGACCTCTTTTTTTTTTTTTTGCCTTTGAACATCTAACCACCTTTACTTATTTATGGGACCCCCCCCCCGGCCTTGGGAAGCAGCACACCCACCCCACCCTACCCCAAGACCAGGCCCAGGTCCAAAAATTCCTCCGAACCAGAGCGAAACCCTGCTTCACACAATTGATCCTGCGCAATCTTTGCTGAGTGTGTGTGTCTCTGTGTGAGTGAGTGAGTGAGTGAGGGATGCTGAGCAAACACCCCCCCCCCCCCGAAGAGCCCTTCCCCCTCGGTTACTTTAGGAATTACACTTAAAACTCTAATCCGGAATCGAGCCGGCCCAGCAGCCAAGCCCGCTGGCGGGGGTTTACTTCAGAGTAAAAACAGAAGCGAATCGCGAAAGAAAAATTTTTTTCCACCTCAGACGCGCAGCAGGCCGAAGGCGGGAGCGCCTGGCCGGCCTTATTTGTTATCCAGGGGCAGGGAAGCCGCCTCCGCCTCCATCAGGGCCGCTTCCGGGGTGGGTTTTTTTGGGGGTGGGGATGTCTGACACCACCGTAAAGATCCAGAAAGGATTTTCACTGTTTGGCGTTTCTCCCTCTCCCACTCCCCCTCCCCCAGCCCCGGTCCTCAACTCTCTTGGCAACTTTCTGCTGTGAGGGAAAAAAAGGACAAGCGGCGCGGGGAACGTGGACGACGAACCGGCGAACGAGGAAGGAAAAAAAAAAGCGGCCGCTTCAGTCGAAAAGTCAAACACTAGGAAAGAATCGCAGATTAAAAAAAGAAAAAGAAACGAAAAGGCGGCAAATCGAGGCTCAGCTTAAGAGCGGCGGCGAGAAACAGCGGCGTCCGCGCGGGGCTGGGTAGCGGGGGAGGGGGGGTGAGGGGGAAGGAAGAGGGGAAAGAAGCACGAATTTGTAGTACGTACTTCGCTCCCATCCTCCAACTCCCGAGAGCGGGGACGGTCTAACTCTTCCTCCCCCCACTTCCCCTCGGATGTCCAGCCATAATTCAAGCCCGCCGCTGCACGCCGAGTTTGCCAGCAAGGGACTTTGGTGGGAAGCGAACACTTGCTCCGAGTGGGGGGGGGAAGCGAAAAACTTCGGCTAAGCCGCTTTAACTTTTAACTTCCACCCGAGTTTCTCCTACCTCTTCCCGAGGTGGCCTTCTCCGGGCTGCTCAAGCTCCCTCTAAGTCTAGATAGTAAAATCCACCAGATCCCCGGGCTTAGAAAACACCCACCGCGCGCGCACACACACACATACACACACACACACACACACACAGGCGCACGTAGGCATCCGACTCCGGCCGCCCAATCCCGCCCGCCTGCCTTGCCTTGCCTTACCTTGTTCGGGAAGCACCTCAGCTTGTAGCTCCTCGTCGGATTTGAGATGTTGGGGCTTAGCTTGCTTTCGTCGAGACATACTGCTAGCTGAGGTGGCTTCTTGTGCCTGCTTTTTGCAGAGACATCGGCGAGAGGTGGAGCGCTGCGGGGAGGGGGGGTGGGGTGGGTAGGTAGGTGGGAAAAAAAAAGACTTGGTGGCGAGGAAAAGTGTATTGGTGGCGTCGGACCGCCACCCCCCCTCCTTATTTCACCGGCAACAAATTAGCGCGGGGGTAGGTGGGTGGGTGGGTGGGTGGTTTGTCTTGCGTGCAAAGAGAAACGGAATAAATAAAATTCGCCAGCGAGCCAAGCGGCGACGGCGGATCAGCCGGGCGGGGTATATGCGCGGGGCTGTGCTGAGCGCGCTGCAAAAAAAGATAGGGCGGCTGCGCGGCTCGCGCATGGGGCTCAGTAATTATGATTGTGAATAATGCATGGCGATTAATGATGCTGGGGGCAAGCGCGGATTGGCCCGGCTCCAGTGGACTCGGGCTGCATATGTAAATGCGGGAGGGCGTTCGGCAATTAGACGCTTCGCTCGGCCAAATGCTGCGTCTGCCCGGCACCAGCAGCGCCTCCTGCGAGAGGCACCGACTGCGACGGCGGCAGTAAGCGAAGGGACACAGGCGGCAGCAAAACACACGCACGCAGTCCGGGGAGACCACTCTCTGCGGGTGCAATTGACTTTACACAACATAGGTGCACAAGCTTCACTGCTGGGAGAAGGGCAGGATCTCCGCGGTTTGCTTTTGGGTAGCTCTGCTCCCTTGGTTTTCCTCGCTGTTGTTTTCGGTTGTTTTTTTTTTTTTAATTACATCACTCTTTGTCTTTTTTCCAGGTTCCTCTTTATCCAGAAGTTATTCTTCATCGCGCTTAAGTTTTTCTGCGGCGCCTCTAAATGTCCTTGATGGGAGACTTTTTTAAAAAAGCAATATATTTTCCCTTCTTATCTCTTTACTTTCGCTGCCTAAATCTTCACGTCCTATTCTCCCGTAGTGTATTCCTTCAAGCCTGGCCCGGAAGCGGCTTCTGTTTCTCTTGGGGGGGGGAGGAAGAGGAGGGGGAAAAGTAAACAGCCAAACTCGGAGACTTTGAACACTTCTCTGTCTTTCACTTCTGGCGTTCGTCCTCCTCCTTTGTGCTAATAGCCTCTCTCTCCCCCAGAGCCGCCTGGTTTTTGCCGCTGTAACTGGTCACTTCCTGTTGTCCGGGGGTCGGAAGTTTTCTATCTCTCTCCAGTCCACCTCTCTAGCCCCGAGACAGGTGGCGAGCCCCCCCCCCCCTTCGTTTAGGTGCCACTCCTCCAGACTTGTTCTTGTCCTCCTCCTTTTGAGTTGCTGCGCCTCCCGTGCCAAGGACCTCGCTTTTGTTTGGAAAGAGACAATCCCGCTTGCCCGGCAAAAATATTAAGCCAGCAACGACGGCGACCCCCAGCGAGCCTTTGAGGAGTGGGTGGGTGTGTTGGTGGGCGAAGGTGTTGATTGTTGTGCTGCTGGGCGGAGGAGGGTATCCCCTCGCCGCCGCCCCTTCCTCCTGGCCCCCTCCGCTTTCCTTCTCCTCGCCGCTCCCGCAGCCTCGATTGGGTGCGAGGCTGGCTTGGCACACGGGCGCTCGCCAATCGATGCCTCCCCGCGCGTTGGGAAAGGAGGAATGCGCACAGCCGGGGCGTCGCTGTTTTCGGCTAGAGAAACTTTCAAGTTTTGAGAGCGGCGGGGCTGGAACGGCGGCTCCTCCTCCGTCTCCACCCTTCGCTGCTGCTGCTGCTGCTGCTACTGTCGCCCAGCCGCCTCTGAGAGCGCCCCTCAAGAAACTCTCGCCCACCCGTGGCTTTTTGAAGCCAGTCGCTACACTCGCTCTCTTTGAAGAGGGAGGGATTCCCTGCCCTAACTTCCGATCCTTCGCAGGCCTGGGTCCCTTTCCCTTCCCCCCTCCGTTCCAGCTCTGTGTTCGTGACTGGCCGGGGCAAAGAGGGGGGCGGGGGGGGTTGAAGCTGAATTAGTTAGAATCGCTTCTGCTTGCCAGATTTCCCCCCCCTCCCGGGCAAAGGGAAAATGCTCTTCAACCACAAGTTTTCTTTTTTTTCTTTTCCCCCTTTCCTCCGTCTCTTAGGGAAAAGTAACGCGGAAGACAACCCCTCTGGTACCGGGCTGCTCCGCTACTACATCCACCGACCTGCTCGCCTGCGTCGGGGTCCTCCGAGCGCTCACAACAAAAACTACGGTGCAATTCTCTCTCTCTCCCCCCCATCCCCCCTCCGAGCATTATAGGGTTTTTCTTCTCCGCTTGTCCACCGACACCCCTTCCCCCTCCACTCCCCGTATCGTTGTTTTGCAACCCGCTCTTAATTTTGCTGGTTTGCCTTTGATATCGCTCCACCTCCGGTGATCCTTTTCCGCGAGTGAAGGCGGCGGACTTCCTCAGCCTCTCCGAGTATAGCCCGCTGAAGGTCAGGCAGCAAGCGCCCTTTCCTCGCGGGAAAGGAACGTGGGGGGGGGAGGTTATGAAAACGGGTTTCCTCTCACCCCTCCCCCCCCCGCTTACTTTATTTTATTTTAGCTTTCATTCAATCTGTCGCTGGCCCTTCAGGTCATCCAAAACTGGCCTCTTCCTGGGACGTTGGCTTCAGTGGATAAACTTTTGCCTTATAAGAGTTCATCAGATTCCGCGAGTTCATCTTACTCGGCTTTTCTTGCCTCCACCCTCCACCCTTTTGTAGTAACACAACATAAATGTAAGCTTCTCGGTTTGACCTGGTTTCTGCTATGGCTTCGCTTTTTCCCATTCTTTCTTTAAAAAAAAAAAAAAAAAAAAGGAGATACGCACGTTTTCAGACCGGGTCAATATTTCGTGTTTTTGACCTCCAAATCTAAAAAGCCTAAAGCCCGCTTATTCCTCCCGCCCCTCGGATCCAATTCTTGGCGCTTTGCACCGAGAAAGTAAGCCCCCAAATAGCCTCTCTTCTTATTTCCCCACCGCGTGGCAATTTGGGGCGTGTATAGTTCGGTTCCCAACCCACTTCTCTTAACTTTCTCTTCCTTATTCTGCCGTTTTTTGTTTTTTTTTTTTAATTTTGGTTCCGTGGATCTGGGTGAAGGGAGTCCAGCGTTTAGACTTCAGGTAGGAGGCGGAAAGAGAAATGCGATTTCCCACGATACAGGGAGAGGAAAGAGCGTTCTACAAACCAGGGCCAGGGGATTTGGGGCTGGCGTTGCCACACCAACAGCCCCTTTCAATCCCGGCATGTGAAAATGGGGTGGTGGTGGAGGGGGGGGCATCCAGGTGAAGGCGGGCAACAGGCTCTGCTGAAAAGTCCTCTCAGCTGGGAATGGAGAATTCAAGCCAGGCTGATGTTTCTGTCGACCACCCTGAAGAGGGCGGAAAGGGGGGCCTGCCTCTTTCGTTTGGCGAGGACCTTAAGCCCATTTACGGGGAAGGAAGGCCCCTTGGAGTCAATGACATCCATTTGCAAGAAAAGAACTGAACCTCGTCTTAGCGCGTGCCTCGAGATACCTTCTGCCTCCAGAGGCAACAGATCTGCTGCTCCCAGCCGCCCTACCAGAACGGAAATAGATGCCCATTTCAACCAGGCCAGGTCACTTCTTACGGTCTCCAGAGTTTCTGTCCAGTCACAAAGCCTGGTTTTCTTTGGATTTAAGGAAATCCGCCTCCTTTTGCAAGGAGCGGCGCGAAGGACTCTTGTTTTGCTTCCTTGAAAACAAATTCCACCCCGATTTTTGAGAGAAATGGAAAAGAGTTTATAATAATAATAATAATAATAATAATAATAATAATAATAATAATAATAATAATAATAATAATAATAATAATAATAACCTTAGAAAGGGAAATGGGGGAGGGGGCTTAGCTCCACTACCGAATGCATAACGTACGAATGGCTTAAAAAGGAATCCTTAGTAGATTTTGCCAGAGCTATATTTGCAGAGTTTCAGATTGTGAACCCATATACTGTATTTTGAGGGGTTCGCTTTAACAGCGCACAAAATCTGTTTGTTTGTTTGTTTCCGGAGAGGAGGAGGGTGAGGGGCAGTCCGTGCGTTCAAGGACTTCTGAAGTTTTGAACCGCTTGGTGGGGCGGGAAGACAAAACAACACCCCCTTCCCCCTTCCTCGGATTTGATGGGGGGGGGCCACCTCCAGAGGAAAGTCTTTTATGTGCAGGATCAGTCACCCTCTGTAACTCACACTTGCTTGCCCGCCAAAACTTTCTCAGATCTTGCTGGAGAGCAAATGTGCCAAATCCGGTGGCTTCAAACTTTGAAAGGCTTGATTTACAGAGCAATCCTCTGCGTGTTTACTCGAGAGTAAATATCCCTGGATCCAACGATGTTTACTCGTTAGTGAAAAGGAAGAATGTATACTTGCAGCAGAAAACCACACTGGGCTGTCAATTCCAACTTTATAAACTTAACAGCCTTCCAGCCTGTTTCTCTGTCTGCCTGCGCGCGCGCAAGAACACCCAAACGTCTGCGTTTTTTCCATACAGAAACTTTTTCTCCAGCCTTCGCTTTTAATCTTTAAGCCGAAATAAAAGAAGCCAAATGTGTTCCTCGGTACAAACCTATTTTGGACGGTAGATTAACTGAACATCTGCACGCGGATTACAGCACCAGCCTCGACACAGAAAAAGAGGCTGACTAATCTATAAAACCCAACTAGGAAGCATGAACGTCTACATATCATTTGCATCCATATTCCTCACTCCTCGAGGGGGGGCTATGGAAATGCAATATCTTAATACTTAGTAGGTGGGGGGGGGAAGAGGAGGAATCCACATCAGACCCAAACTTGCTTGTTCCCCTCCCCCTGCAATTAAATCTAATCTGTTAATTGTCCTTCTTTCTGCAATGGTGTTTCCATTTGAAAAGGAGACACGTAATCATTTTGTCTGCTTAATAATAATATTTTTCCAATTAGGGCAGTATTTTATTATAACATTAATGGGGCACACAATTTAGCAGTTTCCGTTTATTTGTGCCACTGGGAAGCGGGGTAGGAGAAGGGCGGCGGCGGCGGCGGCGGCGGGAGGTGGGGGAGGGTTGGGGGAAGGCAGCCGATCTGCAAGATT